TTTTTTTTTTTTTTGCAAGAATATGTCAGTCAGCTCATGGCCCAAAACGTCGTCATGGGCAAATCAGAGCGGGAGGACAAGAGAAGAGAGAAGAGTGAGAAAAAAGAAAAAAAAGAAAAGAAAGAAAAAACTCACGGCCTACTATCATAATGGTGGCAAACGAGTGCGACCCGCGGTAGTCCGTTGAGCGCGTGCTCTTGGACCAGTCCACCCACTTGGTGTCCATCTTGCCGGGCGGCCTGCTGGATCGCGGCGACGACAGGCGCGAGACGTAAAAGACCCTCTGGAGCTTTGGTGACGGCGCCGTCCTGCTGCCGCTGCTGCTGCTGCTTCGTCTGCTGCCCGCCTTCTTCTCCTCCCGCGCGGCCGCGGCTTGGTCTTCCAGGGTGACGGGCGGGGGGTTGTAGGTGGGTGGTGGGCGGGGGGTTGTAGGTGGGTGGTGGGTGGTGGGTGGTGGGTGGTGCACGGAGGCTAGGTAAGGAAGATAGGTACTCCAAGGTAGGTAGGGGGGTGTGCTAAGTGTAGGGTAGCCGGCGGTGGTCGTCGAGCGCGTCAATGCCGTTTCAATGGTGTCGAGACGGGGTGGTTTTGGTGGGCTGTGTAGGTAGGTAGATCGTTTCCTTAGTGCTAACTAAAACTGTCCTTGCGGGCGGGTTGCAGGGTGTGGAGAGAGCTCGTGTTAGCAAGATAGCAGCTGCGGGGGCCCCGTTTGCGCCTTGTCGCAACACCAATTGATTCGAAGCGACGCACGGTTCCTGCCTTGGGTGCCTTGGCAGATGGCGGCAATCGCCCGTTTGCGCTATCGAATTCCAGGTGTCTGAGAGGATTGATTGCTGCTAGCCCGAGGTTGATGGGTGTCGTCTGTGCAGACGTCACAATGCTGGTTTTGTCTCGTGTTTGTTGGTGTTCTGTAGAAGAACGGCAGCCAGTCCGATGGATTCAATCCCATCCATGTCAGCACAGTTTGCGCCTCTTCAACCGCCAAGCCTGGCCAGCCGTACCTGCCCAAAACGGTATCGACATCGCCACGGCGACCACCACCACTTTCCATCATCAACCAAGTACACAGGCTTTGGGGGAGTCATTCATTACTTGCAAGAATATGGATATCAACCTATAAAAGTTGTACACCGCCATGATGCAACGTCAAGAACGCTCAGAAACAAAGAAAGGACAGATGGCCCAGGCACTGCACCGAAGTGACATGCAAGAGCTTGAAGAAGCGAATGTCGTGAAAAGGTGGCAGTGTCAGCCTTGGAAGAAGAGAAGAATATGGGGAGCAAAGCACCCTAAAATGTCAAACATATGCCCTTCCGGCATGTATGCTGCAGCGAGAAAGGAAACAAAGACAAGATGTGACCGCCGTGATGCACGCCTCAAATATGCTCAAACTCGGAGATTCAAGGGGTAGTGTAACCCAAGCACAGAAAACAAACACAAAACAAAGTGAATTAAAATCGCTTGCTCTTCCAACCTCCCCTAGAAATGGAAAGGGGAAGCAAGTCGGGGTATATACGATGCGCGCGGATTATCGAAACGCTTGCCAGCCTTCTCCCTGTCGCAAGGGCATAAAGTCCGTGTCGACAGCAGTCCTATCCACCAGGCGGGCGAGAAGGATGGGGAAACGAAGCCAAGGAGAAAAAGAAGCTCGTCCATCGTCGTGCCGGTCGTAAGAGGATTGGAAATCCCCAAATTGATGATTTCCAACGTAAGGGGCCGTTTAAATCATGTTCCCCTGAACACCTGGACCCAGCGTGAGCTGGCTCAGACTGAGTGTCCGTGCAGCCTTCTTCCGCCTCGGATCCAGCTCCTCACCGTCGTCAGTCTCGTCTCTGAGATCTTCGCCGAACGCGCCGTACGGGTGTGGTGACTGCTCCTCTCTGGGGGTTTGGAATACCGAGCCGTCCTCGTGCTCGCTATCCTCTCCGTCACTCTCAAATACTGAGAGCGTCTTCACAATGGGGGGTTTGCCGCCAATGCCCCCAAAGCTCGTCGTGCCCACCTGAGGCACCGTGGGAAATGTCTGTCCCGACGGCGTGCCCAGCGGCAACGAGAGCGAGCCGGCAGATGGCTTGGACAGCAACCTCGACTGACTATTTGCCATGGCTCCCACAACCCCTGGCAGTTTGCTATCCCCGGCAACAGCGGCCGAGGCGGGCGATAGCCGCTCATGGGACCGGCTTGGGGTAAGACGCTCTTGCGACCGGCTCTTGTGGGGATCCCTCAGCATCGCATACATGGTGCTTGACAACGTATTCATCCGGTCAGACAGCTTCTTGACCTGCACTTCGAGGGCGACCCGGGCGGCCCTCTCTGCCTCGAGCTGCGCTGCCAGGGCGTCCACGGACAATGTGAGATGATGTTCATGCGCGCCGGCGGCTGCGGCAAGAGCGGGTAGGCTCGTGGCCCCTCGCACAGTCGACATCGAAGTCGGTCTCAGCCCCGGCGAAGGCGCCGCCGAATGGGCCGGGATGGCGGGGATGGAAGGAGTCTGCGTGGCGGCGCTCGACGGAGGGTGCATGCTTCCGATGAATGTCTGGCCGTCCCCGAAGGACATGCGCGACGCGTTGCCTTCCGTCGTCACGGCCGAATGCTTACTATAGCTGTAGCGCGAGGAGGAGCTCGCAGCCTCTCCGCTGAGATCTAGCGTGATGGCTTGCATGGCGCCCCGGGGAATCGCGGCGTGATCGGAGGGGTTGGCGCCAAATACACCAGGTGGAGGCGCGGGCAGATCGAAACCGGTGACTACTGGCACCGAGCGCGGAGCTCCTCTCCCATAACCGGTCGCTAGGTCCTCCATGGGGCCCTTGAAACCGGGAACTGAGTGGCAGAGCTGGTCGACGACGCGCTCCAGCCGGTGGGTTCTGGATTCGAGACTCCCCATGCGCTCGTCAAGGCCCACGGCCTGTGTAATCTTCATGCCCGCCATCTCGTTCATGGTAGCAAACGAGCCAAAGTTGAAAGGCTGGGGCGGCGTCTTGGGCGGCGCCTCAGTCGATTGCTGGATGGTGGACGGTGCCTGGGAAGGATCCACCGAGAGCATGCCAGTGTCGTCGTTGTCGTTGAACTCGGCATCCCCGCCCCCGTTCTCCGGGTGCGTCGAGGAAAGTGGTGACAGGTAGCTGGGGCCGTAGCTCTCGCGCCAGTAGCGGATCTCATCGCTGCGGCGTCGCGTGCCTCCAGAAGATCCGGGAATTCCGGGCAGATCGAGTCCGGACAGAGAGCGTGAACGCCGCTTTTGCGCATACTCTCCTGCTATGTCAGATGTGATGGCGCGACCAATCATGGTCGGGTCCTCGTCCGGGTGAATCAGACGGCTCCCCCTGGCGTGGTTGCTGGCGGGCCGTGGCGACAGACCTCCCCATTCGCCGAGGTCATGTCTCCGGTGGAAATTCCTGGCCCCATACATGTTGCTGTGCGTCGCCGTGACGGCTCTCCTCCGGCCCCCGGTGAAGGCGTCGATATGCATCGAGTTGCGCGCGCTTTCTATAGCGGTAATGTCATTAGGACCAACAGAGTGTGACCGCAGCGCGCGGTCGTATTCTGTGATGGGCAACGACGCCGACCGCTTCGGCTCCGCTTCGTTGACTTGTTCCAGTGCCGACGTGTCCTGGCCGGAGAGCGCGCACGGTTAGTACCCTCGCGTTCATGAAAAACCTGGTCATAGCTCATGCAACCTGGGTCACAAGATGCCATGCGGAGCAGGTATATGCACTTACACTGCGGTGCTGGGTCGACGGCACCACGCTCGAGGTGCGATCGGTCTCGTCGCCCGAGCCTTGGAGGCTAGTCTTGTTCTTCTTCTTGCGACTGAAAAGTTTGCTGAAAGCACCACGCAGGGTGGACTTTTTCCTTTGTGGGCGGTTATCTGCCGTGTTGCCCGAGGTGTTGCTTACGACCGAGTATCGTAGCGTGCTTGATGGGTTGGTTCGCTTGTGGCCAGGAGACGTTCCTGTGCCCGACGAAGGGCTTGTGCGGGCGGCAGCTTGCTGCTGGCTGGGCGGTGTCGCGGGTGTGGTTGTAGGTGCCGGTGCTGGCGTGGGCGTATTCACCCGGGGTGGAGTTGAAGCTACCGCCGGTACCGGTGCCGGTGCCGGTGCCGGTGCCGGCGCGGGGTTGATGGGCTGTATCGTTTTCATCGAGGGGGATGGCTCGTGGGAAGCTGCTGTGCCGTTCGCTCCGTGGTCGTCGTTCCGGCTGCTACTCCCGGAGTTGCTTGCAGGCGGGGGAGGTACAAGGGCCTCTGATCTCTGGGATTCCGGCTGGTCGCCTCTGGTCGGTGGTTCCTCAAGCGGAGTCGGACTTGCGATTCCGGCGCCCCTCTGGCGGATGGGGAACTCTTCCTCGGGGCCGTTGGCGGCAAGGTTAGAGCCTGGGTTTCGGATGGGAAACTCTTCGTCGTCGGCCGGGTTCGGTATCGGTATAGGGCCAGAGATCTTGCCGCGGATGGAATGGGCTGGCCGCGGTCGGCCGTGCCCTGTGGATGTAGAGGGGCTCTTGAAAATATTCATAGCGATAGACCCTGGGGGCTAGCCGCTTGAAGCTTTCTGCAATCAAGATGCAGCCTTGTGTCGTGTGTAGATGCGCAGTCAAGCCTGATGCAAGAGGCTCTCGGCACAGAGAGCACTACTTAAGATATACGGGACAGGGCGATGGCGTGCGAGCACAAGCCATGGAGCGCACAGTAGTCGGCCGTTGGATAGCGTTGGCCCGAATCTGTTGATGGCGCGGCGGCTAAACTAGCAAAGGCGGGCTGGCGGTGCGGGAGTCTTTTTGGGAGACGGGCGTCCCTGTCGTGCTCTCGGTCTGCTATGCTATGATGTGCGCTAACGAAAGTCGAGCCCACATGGCCGACCAATGCGGCGATGTCAGGCCCAGGAGGCTCGGCCACGCCTGTTTGAGGATGTGCGTGGGTGTCCAACGGCTCGGCCAACCGGGGGTCAAGGGAGAGATCTGATTATGATTAACGGAGGGAAAAGAAAGGAAAGGTCGAGCCAGCGACGTGCAGGACGGCGGGCCTTGGAAGACCCGTGTCTGGACGGCTATTCGCGCGAGGGTCGCGGTTTATGGACGAGAGATATGTAGGGCATGGAACCCCGGGCGCTGCATTGTCGCGTGTTACCGTCAGCCGTAGCCTCCTGCACCGGAGAGGACCAGCAGCGCGAGCGAGGAGGGGGGGGAGAAAAGGGGCAGTGACAAGAAGCAACGACAGCTCGCCGGGAGAGGAGGAGGGGGTGAAGTGAAGGATGCGGACTGGGCGTGCTCGACTCCAGGTCTTGCTTTCTTTCTTTTTTTCCTGTTCTTTCGCCGCGCAGAGCAGCACGACGAGATGGCATGCGGGCAACGCACATTGGACAGTGTTTCTCTGTCTGGCTCGGTCCAGAGCAAGGCAGGCATGGGGTCTGGCAGGCAATTGTCCGAAGATCCTAGCTCCTTGCCTGAACCCATGAAACTTGCAACTGGGGCCGGCGCAGTGGGCTAGCCACGGGCCACGGAGCTTCGCAGAGCAGGGATAGGTCAGACGTTTGCAGGCCAGGGAGCCCCTGCAGCACCACGGGCGAGTGGGTGTGGGTGGGTGGGCATCTTGGAGTGTTCGAGGGCGCGACAATTGGAAGAGAGCTGCACAGGTGGTGCGCGGGGAGGGGGCCAGGGGGTGGGTTGCCATCCTCCCATCGATGGCGTTGGCCGCTGAGGCTGGCCAGTCGGAAAGGAGCGTCTGGCAGGGCGAGGGCCACTATGCATGGGGAGACAGGCTCTGGGTGGTGACCGCTGTCGACATCCGACACCAAACAGCTGCTGAGCCCGAGAAGAGGCTCGTTCACAGCTGCGGGGTGGTTAAGGGGCGTGCGGCGGTGCGGGTGCGTGCCAGGTCTGGTCTGGTCTTGTCTGATCGAGCGAGAAGGATTGTGCTCATTCGGGAATAACAGACAGGAATCGTAGGATTGATTCATGCACTGCTTTGCTAATTGCAAGCCGGATTCACATTTTAGCCTGGGCACCCATGGATAGTTGCATAATTAGGATCTTGCACTGCAGTCAATCTGCTGACTGTGGTGTTTTCCCAAGCTACGGGGTTGGAAAGAACGGCCCAGTTGGGACGCTCTCGCGAGTGTGGTGCACTGCTGCTTTGGGTAAGTGACACCCACACAATCAAGCAGCGAGCGACACGCCCAAGCTAGATGGTCTGTGCGTGGGTGCGTCTTCCCAGGGCACGATTCAACTTCCTGTTGCGAATTGTGATGGCGGGCTATTCATGGCAAAAACCGACGTCTTGGGGAGCGCCGACGGCGACGCGGGCTGCACTAGTTCGGGCACAGGATCGGGCAGGCCGCAGCAGGCTGGCGGTTACGAGGCCTGTTGGACGCACGAGACCTGGTTGGCACCTGGCCGCCATGCAGTTCGTTCCATGGCTACCACACCCATCGCCCGAGCGACCGTTACCGTCTTCTGCGCTGCGACGCTGGCGGCTGGCGTTGGCCGGGGATTTGGGCATACCGGCTCGGATTGACTCGACTCGACAGCCGTTTTGAGCAGGCTGGAATGGCCTAGCGCTCGATAGCCTGGGTGCAGCGTGCAGCGGGTGCCTCGTACAGTACAGGCTTGGATCTGGCTGCAGGCCCCGCCTCGAGGTGACGTCCTTGTCCCACCTTGTTTGATTTTGCTGCATCGACGCAGCTGGGCCGTGGAACCGCCAGGCTGGCCATGGGTCCGGCTTATTTACCTCCGGCCATTCCTCGAATTGACGACTTGTGCATGCACCAGCCGCCGCTCATGCATCGCAGCCAGATCCGCCACCTCGACGGCGTTGCTGCCCGCCAGCCCAAGGAGACGCGCTGCTACTGCTACTACTCCGGACAGCATCCATCAACGCACATGCAGACCGCATTCCTCCCTTTTCAGCCGCCGTCGGCACAACGCCCGTGTTGCTCAACAAATCCTGGGATGGGCGGCCAGGCACAGCATCGGCCTTGTACACGTCACTTGGCCCGTCTCTCGCCTTTAGCCCGACGTCGTGGCACCCGTCAGCGGGCTTCTGCTGGGCTTGTATCCAAGCCGCCGTCTGCAGGCCCAAGGAGGCGGTTGCCTGTCCAAGGATATCCCATTCGATGCAGCCGGCTGTCCATCCGAAGCGGTGGGCCGGTCGAGTCGATTCTCTTGGGCAAACCGGCTGATTGTGCTCGTCCTGGTGGCTGGTCATGCCAACGGGAAACCTGGTGGCATTCCTTTCCTTTTCCTCTCCCTTCCCTGTCCCTCACCTCTCTCTTTCCCTCTCGCTGTTTCTGTCTCTACTCCTCTGCCTCTATCGTCAGGCTGAACCCGGTTTGAGACAACAGTAACACGGCGCAGATCCGTGGCTGCTCGGCATGGGGGCCGCCTCTCCAACCCATAGCAGGGTTACCCTTGTCTCTGATGGCCCGCACCCTATTCCGTCTTGGTCCGCTTCAGGTACCGTTCGGGAGAAACATCCCATTGCGGAATATCAATGGCCGTCCACGTCTGCATTGAAAAGCCGTCCTGGAGAGTCCTGGAGAGAGGGAATTGAGTTGGGGCCGTCGTGATTCTGCTTCGAGAGATCCACACCCCCAAGGTCGGGACCCGCTCGCCTCGCAACGTGGTCGCCCGCAAAACCCACTCGCTTCATTTGAATCCCGGCAAGCGACCTCGAGTCTGCAAACGCGCGAACTAGCAACGGGCTTGGCGACGAGTGATGATTGAAATGTCTGCCTCTGGTCGATTCCCACATGGTAGCTTGTTTATGCTCTTGTGTGCTTTTTTCTCTGCCATTCGTCCCAGCTCTATCCTCCTGTTTAAATCGATCCGGGTTGAACTTCAACAGCAGCGCAGAAACCCTCGGCGGATGGCGGCCGAATGGCAGGCCCCACCGAACCCCCGTGTTAATCCCGTTTTGCAAGCCCGCCCGCGGCCATGACACGTCCGACCCCCAATTACCAAGTCCGTCATTTCGTCCGAAGACACAGAACGGCGTTCGCCCCCCAGGGGCTGGGGGCGGGGCTGGGGGAGGAGATGCTCTCTCAATAAAGCGCTGCTCCACCGCGCGTGGGAGAGGGCGACGCTCTGAGCCGAAAGGCTGGTTGGTGCCTGTCAGTCGCTCGTCTCCTCTATGTGTGTGCCGGTGGGCGCCTCTCTCGGTGAAGGCTCCCCAACACGGTCGAGATATCCGGCCAAGTCAGGCCCGCGATCGGTAGACCGCGCCATAGCCTTGTCGTAAATTCTTCGTTGGTGTGCCAGCTTGTGCACACCTCCCCCTCCGTCACTCGGCCAATAACAACATGGGCTAATAATATCGCCTTATACACCGACTCCACGACCTAGCAGCTAGTCCCCAACCGGCAACAATAGTTATTGCGGCTGAAGCCGAAGCTGGGGTGACTGTCTGCTTGCGACAGCACATCGCCCATTACTTTTTCCTCGTTCTGTCCTTTCGTTGTTCTTACTTCCCCTCGGGTTGGCGACACCGTACTGGGCATCCCTGTCACCGTCCTCGCAAACCAAACACACCTGAAGTCGCGACCTGGGCTGTGTGTGTGTGTGTGTGTGTGTGTGTGTGTGTGTGTGACCCCTGGACCCTGGCGGGCGGCCTGGGTGCCTGGCTCGGTAGCCCGTTGAGATTGTCCAGGGTCGCAACTCTTCCCGACCCTTGACGTTTCTTGGCGCGACTGGCCCGGCCAATGCAAAAGGCCGAGCACGTCAGTCCCGCCCCTTTCAAAATATTCCCCACGTGCATTCATAGCCTCCCCGTGTCAATATCGGCACCGCTATCAAAAAATAAAAAAAATGGACGAACGACACGTGTGCGTGTGGCTCTCAGACTTCTGGGTATCTCAGGTCGGCGTGTTCTTCCAGATGTTCCATCCATCTCTTGAGGAAGGCGCTTCCCCTATCGGCCGTTTGCGGTTGCAGGTCTCGGGGGTCAGCAAGAGAAAAAGCAAGGATTGTCGGCGCAGGGTGAAACCAAGACGTGCAATATAGATAACATAACATCTGTGCCCTCGCCAAACCCGTCTCAGGCGCGACAGTGACGTCCCAACACAAAACGCAGCGCGGACGAGGCGAGGGGACAGTGCGTAATTGAGCCAACAACCAACACGGCCGAAGAAATGAAGGGTGGGATGGGGTGGGGTTGAGGGCAAGAACGTGCAGAAAACACATGGCCTCCACGAACCTCTTGACAGTGTCCGAGTCTCCGATTATCGTTAGGGACCGTTTCGGTCGCGTCATGGCCACTGCAGGCGACGGCGAGGATGACATCAGTACACACACGAGGCATGTAACGCGCCGGCGTTTCCAGAAGGGCAGCGAAGCCCAGTCGCCTGGAGCCGTGCACTCACCATTCAGCCGGCGCTTCTCTCCCAGGAAGCCCACCTCGCCCTCGCTGTTGCTGCGCACCAGGCTGACTATGACTGCCTCCTTTTCGCGGCCCTGGAAGCCGTCGACGCTGCCCAGCTCGATGCCCGGGAAGGCCTCTTTGAGCAGCGGCGCCAGAACGGCGAGCTGGTTGTCGGAGAACAGCGAGGGGGTTTGACAGTCCCCCCATCCCTTTGTCAGCAGGAATCCACTTGCCGCATGAACGGCTATACCACGACCTGTTATACATTGCGAAACCCGCGTTTTTTTGGGGGGTTCTCGGCAATTGCGCCCCGAACTTTGGTTGAATGCGGGGACGGAGGACCTTCCGTGAGAGGGCGAACCGCACAAAACGGACCAAAAGGAAATAAGCAAGGGATGAAAGGTAATGCAAGATGCAAAAAGTAACCCAAGCACATATAGAAATGAAAGGAGGGGTGGGGGGATAAGGATGATGGATGTGACAGGCGAATGCCAACATCCCGGCTGACTCGTCCGTGGAAAAGCCGAAACACAAGAACCAGCACAGAAAGGACATGGTATGGGAACGAGACATGGAGATACCAACACGGGACTGCACAGAGCCATGGTGGAGACTCTCACCTGACCGTTGTAGGGTGTGACCACCGCGATATCCTCGGGCTTGACGCCGGCGTCGACGAGCAGCCGGACCTGCTGCGAGACGAGGGCGGCCTCGCGCTCGTTGCTCTTGCTCTCGCCGTGGAGGGCAATCTTCTTCTTGCCGGCCGCGTCGCCCGCCTCGGTGTCGTCGCTGCGCTCGGAAAAGTTCCCGCCCTGCGTGTCGATAAAGATCAGGGGCTCGCGCGTCTCGTCCGTGTCCTCGACAGCGTACGGCAGGTCCCGGAGGAGCCTGCCCTTGACGGCCTCGGCCGCCGTCAGCTCGGAGCCGTACAGCTCGTCCGAGGGGAACCGCATGATCTTCTCGTGCATCCGGTACTGCGTCGTCAGCATGCGCTTGATGGATGCCCCGTGGAGCTTCAGGAGGCGGTCGAAGAGGGTCGTCTCGAGCGTGGCGCCCCGGCCCTTTCCTTTGGCGGCGGCCGGGGCTGCTCCTCCGGCAGCGGTCGGGGTCTTGGAGTTCAGTGACTTTATCGTCGGGGGCAGCTGGAGATGATCGCCGGCGCAGACCGCCTTCTTGGCGGCGAAGAGCGCGACCCAGCACTGCGCCTCCAGGGCCTGGCTCGCCTCGTCAATGATGACGACGTCGAACTTTTCCTGCCGCAGCTGGAAGCCGCCGGCGCCGTGCAGGGTGGCGAGCACGACCTTGCTGGACCGGACAAGGTCCGTGACGCACCTGCGCTCGCGCTCGCGGAACTCCTTGCGCAGCTCCTTGAGGTCGGCGTAGATGAGCCGGCGCTCCCTGGCGCTCTTGGTCTTCTTGATCGAGCCCTGCTTGGCGTCCATCTCGGCCCGCACGTCGCGCACGATGGCGCCCGCCTCGCTCGTCTGCGTCAGCACGTCCAGGGAGTGGGCGGCCACGGACGGCAGCAGGCGGGCCGGGTGGCCGATGCGGACAATGGGGGCGCCGGAATGGGGCGCCAGGCGCTCCGCCACGTTGTCCACGGCCACGTTGGAGGGGGCGCAGACCAGGATGCGTAGCCCTTGCTTCAGGAACTGGAGGATCAGCTCGATCAGGGTGTGGGTCTTGCCTGTCTGTATCGACAAGGCGGATGCGGCACGCATCATTCACCACAGGTTAGATACCGGTACCCTAGACCAAGGCCACACCGCATGACTCCAGTCACATACAGATGGGCGTGACGGCGCGGCCATATCCAGCCGGGGGCGTGCTGAGCTGGGGGCATACATACACCTGGAGGGCCGTGGATGAGCGCAATCTCAGGTGAGGCGAGTGCAAAGCGGACGGCATCCTTCTGCGACTCGTTCAGGGTCGGGTCGATCCATTCGATTTTGCTCAGGTCCGGGTCGGCGCCCAGGTCCGCGGGCACTGGAGACGGCGAGGAAAGACCGAAAAGCACGCGCATGAAGTTGGACTGCTCCGAGTCGCTCAGCTTTTGCATCTTTTCCATCATCATGGTCATCCTGAACCGGCCCATGTCAGCTCCATGAAGCGACGCGGGGGACAAACGGGAGGGACTGACCGGCGGAAAGTGACGTCGTCGGCGAGCTTCACGACCCACACCCTCCCGTTCAAGCCCTTCTCCTCCTTCTGGCCGGCGGCGGCGCCGCCGGCCGAGTCGTCGAGGTCGAGAGCGACGGAGAGGTCGCGGCGGCGGACGCGGGTGACGACGCCGCGGGAGCCGGCGCGCTCGAGCTCGCGCACCTCGCGCTTCTTGGCCGAGCCGGCCGGCTGCTCGGCGACCAGGACGACGTCGCCGACGCGCAGGCCGTGCTCGGGCAGCTCGCCGGTGTCGGAGCTGACGGCCGGGTCCGGGCCCAGCTCGACGACGGTCCGGCCGCCCGAGCCCGTCCGCCGGCCCTCCACCGTCAGGTTGGTCAGGGCGGCGCCGGCCCGCTGGAGCGCGCTAGGCGTGTGGCCCTGGATCAGCTCCGCCGCCGCCGCCACCTCGGCGGCCTGCTCGGCGCCCAGGAGCGCCAGCTGCGTGGCGGCAAACTCTGCGATAGAGACGGGCTCTGGCGGCATTGTTTCTTGTTCCGCGTGGCGAGTATCGTTGCTTTTTTTTTTTTTTTTTTTTTTTGGCAGCTTTGCCTGCTACAATTTGGTGTTGGTGGGTCATTGAGGTTTTGTAAATGGGTAGAGGTTCTTATAAGCTTGGTTAGCTCAGCAACATGATGGGCCTAAAATTGGGACCGAACCACAGCGAGGTCCGGGCAACTCCACATGGAACTTAGGGGACGCTGTATATTCGACGATATCGACAAAACTGAAACTACTATATACGCCATTCTTAACTGCCAAATCACTCGCACATTCCACAGCTCAAGTCATCTTCTTTCGGATTGGAAGAGAAGCGGAGGCTTTTCGTCCTCTGGGAGCTTGAGAACGAGCACCTGTCCCGACATGCATCCAACCGCAACCCTGTCACCGCGGACGGCAATCGAACACGTCCCGGCGGTGGCGGGGGCGTATTGATTCGGAAGGAAAACGACTTTTTGGTCGTTCCACATGGTCCAGCGCCCCTCAACGCTGTAGGAGTACCGCGAGGGCAGATCCGAGCTGGTCGGGGGTGCGTTCGTCAACCTGTTCCGCCAGGCACCGAACTCGGTCAGCAGCACATCATCCGGATTAATGCCCAAGACGCGCGGATGCCACTGCCGTCCCACTTCCCCCAAGACTTCCCCGGGGGCTTCCCAAAGATGCTGTTGCGTTTTCGTGTCCCGCAGACTGATGTCACCAAGCTCCGAGACCGAAACGAGCCTTTTGGCGACCGGCAAGAATGCGAGGGCGCGGTAGGCGGCGACGTACTCGCCCTCTTGCTGTAGCTTAGGGAGTGGCTGTCGTTCTTCGTCGCCTTTGCCGACGCAATTCTCAACGCCCCATATCAGAATCCATGTATCATCGCCACATGAGGCTAGATATCTTCCGTCGGAAGAGAAAGCGACGCGATAGACGTAGTCATTGTGGCCCTCTAGCATTGTGCTTTCAAGCTTCACCATGGAGTCTTGGTCACTGGCCGCATCACTCCGAGAGGTGTCATGATTGTCGTCAGGATGGCTCGGCTGCTCAGCTTGGGGAGGGAGGTTCCATTGCCTCACGGTGTGGTCGTCGGACGCCGAGGCCACGAGCCGGTCTCGAGGGCAGAGAGCGACGCACCGTACCCAATCGACGTGCCCTTCTAGCCTGTGTATCCTCTTCCCCAGCTTCGTGTCCCAGACTCCTATGGTCTCATCGGTAGAGCCTGAGATGAGGATCTTCTCGTCCTTGGAAAACACGGGAGAGGTGATCTCGCGGCTGTGGCCGTCGAGCGAGAGCAGCTGTGTTCCATCGTCCGCGTTCCACAGGAGTATCAAGCCGCCTAGGTTGCCCGATGCGACCATCTTTGCCTCCGAAGGGGGCGCCAGGGAGGTTATGGCTCTCGCGTGCTTTTGGAGTGCAGAGGCATCTTCCGCCGCCACCTGGTCTTCCCGAGTCACCGCCTCCTCATCATAGTTGCCTTCAACACGCCAAATGTGCGCATTGCAATCGCAAGAAGTCGAGGCCAAGAGGCCTCCGCTTGAGGAGAAGGCCATTCCATTCACATCATTATTATGTGCTCTCAATATTTGTCGGGATTGCAGGTGCGAAGCGCCTCCCTGTATGACTTCTTTCCATGTTTTCACCAAAGAGCCCTGGATCGTGGCAAAATACTTGTCGTCGACTGGAGATTGTAGCATGAGGGTGAGATTTGATTCCCTCGCAGCCGAACGTCCTCAGTCGCCCTCCCTGGTCGGTATCCCACATTTGCACACCATTCTTGGACCCAATTACCAGTAGAGTCGAATTGCGTAAGAAGTTCAAGCAAACTGTTGGGCCGGGGTTGGAAAGCCGGCGCTTCACTTGCCGACGTCCAACGTCCCATACGACGATGGTATTGGCATAATATGGCTGCACTCAAGGAGCTTCCTCTTCGAGCTCGCGCTAACCTGATCCTAGGCGAGCCACCGTCAGCAAGATCCCGAAGGTATGCGGCCGTTACTTTTGTTTTCCCCTGGGGCGCCTAACAGCTGAAAGCTGCATAACGCTAATTACAAGATGAATATGTACACTTGAATGGGTGTTCGAAGGTGATTTGCATACAAGAATCTTGTGGCACGTCTCTTATTGGCAGTGCCACCGCAAATGTCAGCAGGCCTCTCAGGTGACGTGGCTTTGCCCTAGGAAGTGCAGTTTTCATTGTATAGCACTGGCGGCCCTAAAAGCTGGCGTTTGACCGCAAACATGATGTCCGTCTCTAGTTTTACAAAACACACTGGGATCTGAAGGCATCTCAACCACGACAGCATGGAACCGGCATCAGGACCAGCGTCCCTCCTCCACCAGGTCTTTCGGCTATATATCCATATCTCCTCGGCGCGGAACTTTTCTGACTCAGCCGGCAAGTGAGAATCTCGAGCTCACAAACGGGCAATCTTGACTAATCAGTGCTCGAGTTCCTCCTTCCAGGTGCCCTATCTGCGCTTATAGCGACCGAATACTTTCGCTTCGAAACTTGGGTGCAAGCCAGCGGGCTCGTCCACAAAGATGCTGGATCCGGGGAGCCCATTTTGCCCGAGTACGCGCTGAGACGATGCATCCTGCTCGCTGCCAACGCCAACTGCGCGACGAAAGACTATAAGGAGGTGGAAGAGATAGTTCTGAGAATCCTGACCCAGGTGTCCATGTGCCTCCAGAAACTCAACAAGCTGAGGGGCAGGTATGCCCTGGATCTCACTTCTCCTGGCCCCTCGCCGCCCCCTGCTGGCGCGTCGGCGGCCGTCCCGCCACCACCTGTGTCAACTGGAGTGCCCAGTCTCGATTCGTTCTTTTCCAGCTCGTGGGCCTCTTTAGCGCTGTCTCGGGATGCTGCCATCCGGCAGGAGCGAAGCCGGACCGTGAGCTTCTTCCGCAAGGTCAACTTCAGCTGGTCGTTTTCCGACGACACGAGTGACCGGCTGAAGATCGAGCAGACACTGGCGACATTGAAGAATCTCAACGACTCCCTGGAATCGATCCTTCCACCGCCCTCTTCTCGAGTCGGCAACAACGGGATTGATCTGACTAGGAAGATTATTAACCTCAAGATGCTGTCCATGACGGCCCACCCGACTGAATTGCGAGCCATTGGGAGGACGACGGCAGCACATGCCGGCAACGGTGGCGAGCTCTATGAGCAGATACGCAACGCCGCCACGCTCAAGGCGATGCAAGAGGAAGGCGTTCCACAATCAGACCTACAAAGCGTCGTTATTGAGGAGAAGATGCTGGTCACGTCTCCTGGTACGCCCTACACTCAGTGGCAGCACAAACACACACGCACCATGTACCAGCTGCAAACGAACGGTCCAACCTCCACGGTTCTGGTAGAAGGGACGCAGTTTCCCGATTCTCTGCCCGACGCCGATATACAGCTCCTCCACCAACGGATCGCCACCCTCGCCTTCCTCCTCAAGCTCGCAGGACAGCCCTATTTCAAGACGCTCCCTCACTGTCATGGCTACGTCCGCCACAGCCACACCAAGTTCAGCCTCGTCTACAACCTTCCGGACTGGGCCGACCCAAGCCGCGATCCAGTCCCGCTTTTCTCTCTCCTCCCAAACAACAACAAGCGCGACCTCGCCGCTTTCGGCATGGGCAAGCGCATCAGCCGCAGCACCCCCCTCCCCACCCTTGAGGAGCGCTACCGTCTTGCCCACGCAATAGCCGACGCCGTCCTCTCGCTCCTCGGTGTCTCCTGGGTCCACAAGAGCATCTGCAGCTGGAACGTCCTGCTCTTCCGGTCGTCGCAGGGCGGCGGCGCGAGCAAGACCGACTTTGCCCGGCCCGTCATCACCGGCTTCGGCGTCTCGCGCCGCGAGAAGCTGTCCGAGGACACGGTCGACACGCGCGATCGAGACTCGCCGCTCGGGCTGTGGCAGCACCCGGACCTGCGCCGCGACGCCCACACGCGGTTCCAGCATAGGCACGACATTCACGCGCTGGGGCTGGTGCTGTTCGAGATCGCCATGTGGCAGGACCTGCCCAGCTTCGACACGGGCGGGGACCTGCTGAGGCGTGTGCTGAACTGTTCGGATTTCGTCGCGCACAGGATGGGCACGACGTATCGGGATGCCATGATGGCGTGCTTGGAGGATGAGTCCCGGTGGGAAGAGACGGGTGTTCAGGGACAGGAGGGGGGGATGGCGTTGGTATTCGCAGAGGAGGTCGTTGTTAGGCTGCTGCTTTGTGTTGAGGGTCTGTGATTGTGATTATTTACAGACTGGAAATGGATGGGTGTGATCTGACGCATTGAGCCATCACACCGTAACACTTATCTCTCCGTCCACCCCCATTGATGCCCTCACGCACGTGTCGTCGTCCTCGTCCTCTGTGTCGTCGTCGTCGTCCCCCCCACTCACCACTACGGGCACAAGAAACCTCCTCCCAGCCTCCATATCCATAGTTCCACTTTTCGCGAGAGCCTGAGCCATTATTTCTCTCCCCACTGTGACCGCGCCACCAAAATGCATCAGAACCCGGCAGGTAGCCAGTTTCTTCAGCTGCAAGGCATCCATGATGGGTGTCCTGCCTGCCTTGTCACAGGCATTCACCTCAGCACCAGCCCGCAACAGGAGGTAAGATATTTCGGCATCTGCTAATTCCACAGCTCGGTGAAGGATGGTTGCCTGCGTCTTCTCAAACCACATCCGGTTCACGTTGGCGCCATGATCGATGAGCAGCTTGGTGGTACCAGCATGGCCGCTGAGAGCAGCTTGAACAAGCAACCGGTCTAACGCGTCCTGCCAGGACATGCCGGAAGCGGTATGGTTTCGGAGGTTCTCCAAGGCCACTTTTAGAAGACGGACCATGTTCTCCTGAGCTGCGCAAAGGCATAACCTGATAGACCAAGTCATGCCGTCGTCATCTTTGGAGCCAACAGTGCGAACAGCTTGATGCTCTCGCACTAGAATTTTGGCGATCTCCAACCGGCTCAAGAGGGCATCCTCGAGGTCTGGGCTGATTCCTCGGGAGTCTTGCGCTTGGCTAATGGTTGAACCGGACAGGATATGGCAGTAGTCGAGGGCGTTTCGGCGGTCTTTGGGATCCAACGATTCGTTCCCGGAAAGGATGTCGACTCGCGCACCTGCCCGGCAGAGCATCCTAGCAACGTCGGCGTGGCCGTTGACCACGGCATTGTGCAGAGCCGTGTGGCCTTTGGTGTCAACAAAGTCCAGGTGGTATGGCGTGTTGAACTTTTGGACAAGGTAGCCCACGATCAGCGTGCTTCCGTATTTGCAAGCCAGGTGCAGCGCCGTCTGCTTCCAGTCGGGAACTACGACGAAGGACGGAACCGAGTCCTTGGAATGCAACGGCTCAAGGAGGTACCGTAGTGGTGCAATAGCCGTGTCCAGATTGCTCGTGAGATGCTCAAAGAGTATGTTCGCGTTGGGGTGGGCGTCTTTATTTGGCGCCCCGAGATATTCGGGTTTCCATAGTGCATTGACGTTTGCCCCGTGGCTGATAAGAGCAGAAGCAATCTCGAAATTCCGGTGCAGCACTGCTTCCATCAGAGGTGTCCGGGCCTGCACGGTCAAGAAATCCATATTGATGCCCTCAGCGGCAATGGCATCAACCACGCTTCCATTACAGCCCAAACTCTGTGTACAGAGTTCCAAAAGCTTCTCGGCATATGGGAGACGGCCGTCGGCAGAGTATTCCTTGGCCCGTTTTATGACGTATAGGACGGTCGTAGCGTCTGCTGTTCGGATGATTTCTTGGCAGACCTCAGCCCAACATTTTGCCGGGTCGCTCGTCCCCTCGAGGAAGCCCTCCTCGGCTAGGAGTTTCAAGATGACTGTGCTACAACCTGTTGTGAAGAGAATATCTGGGAGTAGTGGTATCGGCAGCTTCGTCACCAGGTTGAAGTCGCTGAGAACGAGCAAAGTCTGTCTCATGGCGTCAACCCAGCCCTTGCCTCCATACGCCAGTCGCTCGTGACATGGATTCAAGGCTACCGCCTGAAAGATGAAATTCGCAACCCGTGGATGGCCCGAAGGGATAGGCGGGCTTAGAATCTCGCCTCTTTGGCGTAATTCCTCGAGGAACACGCGGAGAATCTCGGGCTTGTTCAACTGAATGGCCAAGTCTACCGGCCTTTCACCCTCGTATTTGTAGCAAATGTCAGCCCCTGACGAGACGAGTTCCCTCACAAGCGCGGCAATGCCTAGCTCTACGGCCCAGTGCAGAGCTGTGCCTCCTTGTTTGATTCCGAATCCGTCGGCGACCCCAGGCGGACGCTCTGCTGTGGCGTCCAAGACACTTTTGCTGTTTTGGTTGAGCAGTCTGACCAGGCAGGCCAGTCCTCTGGCTTCTCAATGGCAACAAGCCAGTGCCACGGCGTCTGCCCCAGGTCGTTTGGCAATAGAGCTTGGGCTCCCGCCTCAAGGAGAAGCTTGGCGATGTCGACATGATTAAACCGGACTGCCAGCAGCAGTGCGGTATTGCCGTCCTTGTCTTTGGCATCGATAACGGTGCGTAGGAGCCCTAGCCATGACCGAAACCGATCGGGACTTACCCCAAGCGCAGCCCCGATGTGCAGATTCGAATTTCCTCGTTCACGGAGCCATATTGCCTGGAGCTCCTGCGTCGTGAACGAAGTCCGACCCGACAATTTTCTCGACGCGGAAGCAAATGCGTCCTCGCCAAGCACCCGATCAATAATGTCATCGAAGTGAGACTTAGACTTGGACTCGTTTTCCTGTGACGAAATCACTCCGGCTACTTTTTGGGCCTCCTTTTGCTTGGAGTCTCGCAATGCTTGAGGGTTGTGGCGACGGAGCCAGATTCGGGCAAGAAGCGAGCCCTCTTCAACCCCTCTAGCCAAGCCCTTCTCGTACAGGCGGTGAGTTGCAGCATCCATCACTGTGCCAGAGGCTTCGCAGAACTGCCCCAGCATCACCCCGGCAGTGATATCACCGGTCGCCGCGGCCTCTTTCATCAAGGAGGCGCCGACAGCCATATTATCGTCCTCCAGTGGTCCGAATCCATCAAAAGCTTGGAGACCAAGCTGAAAACCAGTACTGGTAAAGGCTGACGGGTCGGAAGCTTTGGGATTCTCGGTGATATCGGATACACACTGGTAAAGCATCGCTTTGACGCTTCTTGGTGCGTCAAACAGACATAGGTGACTGACAAACATCTGGAATCACAATCATGTAAGACTTCGCTCTCGCCGCCTCTAGAATAAAAAAACAAAGTACTTACACGTTTATCTAGGAGCGATTCCTCGCAACTGCCACTACTATCCTTCGTTGAGGTGGGGATATCCTCGGGAAACCTGGAAAGGTATGCGTCATGGTGCAGCGACTCCACCGCCTTGTCAAGGTCCCTGGTCTCAATCGAGGCGGACAGGCAGTGCTGGAGGCATTGTCGGGGTATCGAGACGGCTAGTCTGTACGACTCAAAGCGATTACAGCTGCCTGCAAACCCTCCAAGGAGCATGGCCTTTTCATACGCCTCTTCGAGAGACTGTGCCGCTTCAGCAAAAATCAAATCATCCTTCTTCCGCTTCTGGATATCTCCACTGTCCTGGCCGTCGAACGGATGATTCTCGCCCTGGAGGCAAAGCCTCCACACGAAAAGACCATACGAGTAAGTGTCGGTGCCACCGAGAAACCTGGTATGGACAGGCTGGCCATGCTCGGGCGAGGTCCACGGAGGAGTTCCCGTGGTGGGAGTAACCATTTGGTCCCTTCCATACTTGATAACGGAGCTGCCAAAGTCGGACAACTTGGCCCTCACGCGCCCGTCTCCCAGGTCGAAGACGAGAACGTTTTGGAACTTCAAATCCGCATGGATGACTCCGCTGGCGTGAAGGGCCTGTAGGCCGCTCCCAATCTCTTGGCCGAGCTGCAAACGGGTCTTGATACCGGGTGTCTTCGACGCAACGTATTGCTGAAGGGACCCATGTTGAGCCTCCTCTAGAAATAGCACCGGAACCCACGAATGTGCGACAGGGTCGATGCGGGCCCATTGAATCGACATCCACCGGACGATGCCGTCATGCTGGCTGAGTGGGGGGTGAGAAAGAATTCGCAGCTCCGTCAATAGAGACTCGTATGCGCTCTTAGGGAGAACACCGGTAGCGTCGGGGATCAAGGGATATTTTGCTACCTTCTGGGCAGGAAGGCGACGAGCTTGGAAAAAGCCACCCCGTGCAAGAAAAGACCCGCCCTCGGATGAGAACTCCCCCATGAGGGGTTGGTTGATCATATGCCGATGGGCCTTTACATAGTTCACGACTTGGAACAGGTTCCAGATCGCTTGGAATCGATCGGTCTTGGTCTCCTCCTCCTTCTTGGGTCGTGGCAATACCAGACTTGTGGTTGTGGGATTGATGATCTGACCGTAGTCTTGGTTTAGGAGGCGATCATAAGTGTGGGCGTGGGTGTGGGCTCGCTGGCGATAGCGATTGGATGATGTCTCAGAAGCCATGTCGTTGAATTTTCTGATTTCCTCGATGATGTTTTCATGGACGACGGTCAGGGAAATCAAGGGTTAGATTGGCCTGGATGGAGGAACAGCAGGAGGGAGACGGCCTGACCCCGCACATCTTCGTGCCCGACCGGAGTAGGCTGTGTGACCGTGCAACACCCGATGAGGTGTAGCTCGCGGGCAGGCTGAGGCTGGCCGCATTTGTTGTCCGTGGAACCCCGCCTCTATCTCCAGACACCTCCCGCGTGATTTGCAAGACACTCCCGTCACCAACTCCGAGGTTATTTTGACCGTCATTGACGCCGGCTTCCAATATGCCTGAGAGTCCAGGGCTCTTCATTAAGCTTCCGGTCTTGGGCCATATGTCCTGCAACAACGCCCACGGGGACAGCCTGTTGCATTGGGCCATCCGGGAAAGATGTATCTCTCTGGCTCGTCCACTGATCCCGAGCGATATCCCCGCGAATCTACCCAACGATGAAGGCCAGACTCCCCTCCACCTCGCTGTGGCTGCAGGCGACCTCGAAGCGTGCAAGCTGCTCGTCGACAGCACGGCCGACTTGAGTCTCCTCCACTTACAGGACAAAGAAGGCAACTCCCCCGTCGACTTGGCCATGATCCTGCTATTGAATGGCTCTTCTACAGACGACAGTATCCTCGACTACATTGTCCAACAGAGCGCCCGGGCATCGCAACGCTACGAGGACCAGTGGTTTTGGGCATTTTGTCGTGCCATCTGCAGTGGTAACAGCGTCCTGCTCGACGTCTTCCTCCGACATGGGAAAGGTCTCCTGGATAAACATCCTACAAGGGGCAGCACCACACTACACGCTGTGGCCCATATGATTGCCGTTGCCGCAAGGGACATGACTCCTATCAAACTTCTTCTAAAGGCCGGTGTCGATATCAATGCCGTGGACAATAATGGAGCCACTGCCTTACACACTGCGGTACAGGGGCGCAACGCCAATGTGGTCAAGTACCTGGTCGAGCACGGTGCCAAGGTGGAAACGAGATTTGGCGCCAAACCCCTGGCTGGCTCTATCTTCAACGAAGTAGGGGTCGAAAACGCCCTGGCCTCGGTTGAGGCCGGTGCCAGCACGTTCCACAAGATGAACGAGGGTCAACCGCTGCTGCATCTCGCCGCTCAAGTGGATCAGCGGGGAATCCTCGAGCTCCTCCTGTTAGCAGGAGTCCAAGTCAACACGCTTGATGAGGATGGGGAAACAGCGGGCTACTGGGCTTGTACCAACGGCCATCTCGACAGCCTCGATTTCCTGATGAGCCAAGGCCTCGACCCCAAGGCTGGGAAAACGGACCTGCTGAAAGAAGCTATACAAAAGGGGCATCTCCCCATTGTCGAGTTTTTGTGGGGCCGCGGTATGCCCATTACGGTGCAATATTTGCGCCATCCCCTCGAAGACCGTTGCCGGAGCATGCTCGACTTCCTCTTGCGACATCTGGCACCTCTCCCCCAAAGCCTTGACGGTGGTGCAGATGCCGATTTTAGTAGCGACGCCCACGCCCACAACCCTGAGCGCTTCTCAACAATCGATTCCCAAATCCTCGCCGCTGCCTACTTGGAGCTCGGTCTTAAGATTGGCCCGATCGACGCCAGGTCATGCGCAATCCTCCTCAACGCCTGCGCACAATACGGGTTTCTATCCGGGGCTCGGGTTCTCCTCGATGCAGCCCCATCTCGGGGCGAGGTCCGAAAGTACTACTCTGTATCCTCCCGCTGTAGCGCGCTGGAAATTGCCGCCTGTGAGAACGACATTGCGCTCGTTGGGCTCTTGTTGGAGCATGGCTGGGACCCGAGCCATGAAGACATATACAGCCGGACAAGTCTACATCTTGCAGCGCTTTGCGGAGCTGCAGATGTTGTAAAGGAGCTGCGGGGCGAGTGCAACATCCATCAGAGAGATATGGGTTGGGATACGCCACTTCACCTGGCAGCCTACTCTGGTTCGGTTCCAGTCCTCGAGCTTCTCGTCGATGCCGGAGGGGATGTGGACAAGCTGAACAAGGATGGGGAAACTCCTCTGGGGATTGCCTGTGAGCAGGGCCATGCTGTTGCGGTTCGATGGCTCCTGGAGCACGGTAGCAGCCTAAGCCAGATGGGGAATGCCTCACACCTAACGCTGAGCCCGCTACATCACGCCGCTCGCGGCAACCATGTCGGTTGCATGGAGCATCTGATCGCCGCAGGGTTCGATGCGAACGTAAAGCGCGCTGGTAACAACACTCCCCTTCACGCTGCTGCCACAAGTGGCGCATGGAAGGCCGTCTCACGACTCCTCAAGGCCGACGCGGATCCAAACTGCCTCAATGACCAAGGCAAGACGCCCTCTACATTGGCTTTTTCGCACGCGGATATTCCACCCGACGTCATCACCGAGCTCCTCCAAAAGACCATGGTAGACTGGGATCTCCCCTTATCCCAGAACATCCTCTTCAGCGCCTGCGTCGGGGGGAACAAAGCCGCCATTGGTGCCGTCCTGGGCCTTCTTAATCAGGACCGCCCCAAAGAGGCGAAGAAGACAGTCCGCCGCCTTCTCCCCGAGCTTCTGGGAGAGCTCTGCTCCTCCGGGCCCGCAGCCAACAGCACGGCATTCCCCTTCTTTCTTCCTTATCTACATTCCAGATCCAAGGCGGCCCTATCCATGACCATGCTTTCTGCGACCATCGTCGCCGGCGACGACGCCGAGCTTGTACAGTCGCTGGTGCGTATCAATCCCAGATACGTGGCCCTCGGCACGGCACAGCCGTGGACCATGCTGCATCTTGCTTGTCGGTATGGGCGCATCAAGATTGCGAGAGTGTTGCTGGCGAATGCATCGCCGGCGTGGGCAAAGGGCGTAGATGGAGACCTGCCCTTGATGGTGGCAAAGAAATATCTGGAGGGTGATATATTGGAGAGGTTTGTTAGCCTATTTTTGGTGTATGAGACTACTTTTGAAGCGTTGCTTCAGGACACGGAGTATCAAGGTTTGATTTTGGCGGCGCAATCAAGGATATGTCGGGACAGTGATAATAAGGACGGGTATAAAGAGAATGACAACGACCAAAAGAAGGAGAAGGATGAAGAGAAGGAAAAGGGGAAACAGAAGGAGAAGGAGGAAGAAAAGGAAAAGGACGAAGAGAAAGACGAAAACGGGGAGGAACATTCGGGACGTTCTGCCAATAACAGCAGGACCAAGGAAGAAACTCACTAGTAATAAGCATGGAAATGAGATTTTGGGATGCCGAACAGTGTCCTGCTTGCGTGAACTTCCCGACCGCGTGCTGCCTAACGCTAACGAAGTTGACCAAGGCAACTTGGAAACGCTCACCGCTAGCTCGGTGGTGTACGCGAGGTTTATATATATGTCGCGGCCAAAATATCGTATAGGGGCGAGCTAGAAAAGCCGCACGATATTATCACCTGATCGGAGGCGGATTCCATCGTTTTCGGTTTTGGTGGAGGGTGAGGATGGGTCTCGCATCGCATCTTGCTCCCCGTCTAAAAACATATGGCCGCTTATGGACGGAGGTGCCGCTATCTACGGATGCTGTTGGTTCTGGCCTGTGTGCACGTGCTTAACTAGAGCGGAAAAGGAAGAATGGCCGGTCCTGCAATGCCGATGTAAGCTTATCGAGGCGGTCGAGGCCGGCTCAAGGTCAGGCAGGTCCGAGGCTATAAGCACGCGGAGCTTGGCCGAGTGGAAGGCCTTCAAGGAGACCAGATCTAACAAAAAAACCGGTTCTCCCCGAACCAATATCTGGGCTCGCTACATTGTCGTCAACTTGTCGTCAACCATGACCTAGCACATACTCCAGAAACCGAGAGACACGTGTACCTCTCCAATTATATGATTATCAACACCAGCCCCAACCCGCACCCTTCAAAACAAACACACTCCCCTCAGAGATTCCGCATCCCCCTCGGCTGCAGCGGGTCCAGCTCCTCCTTGGTCAGCGGCCTCGCCTGCCCCAGCATGTCCGCCAGCGTCGCGTGCCGCTGCTCCGCCGTGCCTTCGGGCTTGTCGTTCGCCACCAGCGGCGTGAACTTGTAGCTCGGCCCCAGCGACGGCGTGTAGTTCCTATGCGCGAGCCCCAAGCCCTCTTGAGCCAGCGGCGGCCAAAAGGGAGCCTCGTTGGCCGCCAGCTGCACGGGCAGGCACCTTGCGACGGTGACCTGGGGGAAGGAGGCGAACAGGTCGTCGAGGCGAGGGTCGAGGGCCTGCTTGAGCGAGGCCACGGACCCGGCGGCGGCGGTGTTGGCCACGACGGTCTGCCACGGGTTGCGGCACGTGTTCTCGGCGCAAGACTTGGTGGCGAGCAGTAGTGCGTTGAGGCGGCTCATCAGGCGCTTGGTCTCCGGGGTCGGGTTGAGAGCGAGGTTGGTGATCTCGTGGGGGTCGTCCTGTGAGTGATAGTTTTTGTCAGATCTGATCTCTTGTATCCTGTTCCTGTGCCCTGTTCCTGTATCTCTTTCCTGTCTCTCTTTCCTGTCTCTCTTTCCTGTCTCTTTTTCCTGTATCCTTTATCTCTAGAGGGACTCACAGTGGTATTGTAAAGCTCCACATCGCTCGTCTCGCACCAGTGCGAGTACAGGTACCCGAACCCGTCCCCAGCGATCCTGACGGTCTTGTACGTGTTCTTTGGCGACGCGAACCGCCCGTTCGGCGTGCCGATGGACGCGGTGCCCCAGTACTCGACGTTGAGCACCTCGGCGTTCCCGCCCTCGCCCGCACCGGGGTGCTTCATCTGTGGGTCCTTCCACTGCGGGAGCAGACTGCGGCCGTCGAGGAAGACCGGCATTTCTTGAGGGGAGACCCCCGCGATGTCCAGGAAGGTCGGGGCCAGGTCGAGGTGCGAGCCCACCAGCGTCGACCGTGCACCTGCGGGGACTCCAGGCCCGCGGACGACGAAGGGGAGGTTGGTGTCCTCGGCGAATGGCGTGGTCTTGCCGACGGCCATGCGGTGCTGACCAAGGTGGTAGCCGTTGTCGGATGTGTAGATGACTTTTTGTGTGAGTGAGAAGGCCAGTCCAGCAACTACATATTTCACAACACGTGACAAAGGCATGCCTTAAAGGGCATTGGAAAAGGAAAAGGGGACGCGAAAAGGAAAGGGGCAAAGGAAAAGAAATAAGAAAATCAAAAGGATGTAGGAAAAGGAAAAAGATATAGGAACAGGAAAGAGGTAGGAACAGGAAAGAGGTATAGGAAAAATAAAGAAGTATAGGAGCAATAAGAGAAACAGGAACTGGGAAACGGGAAAAGAGAGGTACTCACTATAAGTGTTGTCAATAACTCCCTTCTCCTCCAGCTTGGCCACGACGTCAGCCACCATCTCGTCGATCCCCATCAGCGCCTGAGCCCTACGGCGGTACTCGGCGTCGGCCCAGGCCACGTCGGCGTCGGGCATGGGCTCGAGGTCGCGGAGCCACGAGACCTTGTTCCGCTGCACCGCGTCGGGCGGGTTGAAGGACGGGGTCCGCGGCACTGTGGCGTTGAGGAAGAGGCCCTCGTGGCGCTGGCAAGGGACTGTGGTGGCCGTCTCGTCGTCCACGTGTGGGGCCGTCGGGGAGAGGAAGAGGAAGAAGGGCTGGTCCTGCTCTGTCGCTGTGAGCTTGTCGAGGCGGTCGAGGCTGAGAGGGGCAGTTAGTTGTTAGCATTCAGATGGGTGAGGTACTTGCCAGCTGGGGTGAGAGGTTGGTTCTTACGCTTTGGCCCGGATTATGTCCGTTTGATGGAAGCCCTTGAACCAGATGGGGGTGTTTCCATTCTCCGACATGACCACCGAGTTGGGGGTGGTCTGGTACGGCTCGAGCTGCATGATTGGACTTCAGAATCAGCATCCATGCTACTGTGGAAAGGTTTCACGGCTGCTAAAAAGCTAGTTGAGACGGGTCGGGGTTTGAAATACTGCTGGGGTAAAGGCACGGGCAGAGAACTGTAAAGGAAAGAGGAGTAACAAAGGAAATGGGAAAAGGTGTGGAAAGGGATGCTGAAGACCAGATATGAAAAAGAAGGAAGAAAGAATATAGGAAAAGGAGATGGGAAAAGCAGGCAGGAAGAGGGCACGGGAAAGACACAGCAAAAAGACTGTCTCGACCATCTTTTGGCCGACGTGGATGCTTTGTTTTGACTTGAGCTGGCTTACAAAAACGTCGACATGGTTCCAGCCCCTCGGTTGAGAAACCCAGTTCAGGATGTTGACTCCGTTAAGGAACTTCCCCAAGTCTAGGTACCTTTGCATGTCAGTCAACGGTCACATAGCTCTTCTGCTTGCGCGCACAAAGAGACCCACACTCTGTCCGGTAGCCGGCCTTGTTGAGCCAGTGAGGCAAGTAGTCGTTCATCTCTCCAGAGAGCGCAAACTTCTCGTAGTTTCCACTGTGTCACCAGAAGAAATCTTATTGCGTGAGCTAGGTAGGTTGCCTCATCTCCCACTTTCTCCTTCAGAGCCAACAAACGGTGGGTGACAGACAAGACATACCCAGGAGCAAACACGTTGGTGACGTTCGTGTTGTGCGCCGCCTGCCCGCGCAGCAGCGCCACCCTGGAAGGGCAGCACTGGGCCGACGTGGTGTGGTGGTTGGCAAAGGTGCTGCCCTTGGCCGCCAGCTCCCGCTGCACCGCGCCCATGAACTTCATCGAGCCGAGGCGTACGTCTTGGTCGTCGCTCATGATGACCACGATGTTGGGTCGCCCAGACGCAGACACTGCGGCCGCGTGCTGGAGGCCTAGGGCGACGGCGACCCATTGCGCCAGGGAGGAGAGGGAGGAGCGCTGGAAGGGCATGTCGGTGAGCTTGTCTGTATGGCCGCCTCGGACGGGAAAAGACCAGGCGAGGAGGGACAGGGCCGCTGCCGAGGACAAGGCGGTGGCGGATCGTCTCGACGACCGGTGGGTTGTTGAGCCAGCGGGGTAGGGGCCATCACGGTGGTGGGGGGTGGTGGTGGTGAGCCGGGGTTGTTGTTGTTAAGTCAGTGCACCCCCTGTCGGCGCACTCTGTAGGCCCACAGCATGGAATCTTCTAAAGTACTCCCGCCCTCCTATTTTTATCAATTCTAATCTGTTTTCCTTACTTTTTCTTTGCAATCTAACTGTCACGGTACGGTCGCTTACAAGGACCTCGCATGGGCTGTAGCCCCAGCTACAACAACGTTCCTCTTTTGCCTTGGTGTAACGGGTACTACCTTGGTCTGGTTCCGTAACAGGCGGTTTTAGAAACACAAAACGGAAAACAAAAAACTATCGTCGTACCGCATAGGAAATTTTGGAAACCCGGCGGTTGATTGGCCAGTGCGGGAACCCAACTGTCTCACAGTACAAAATGGCCCTTACTGGTTTAACTAGGGGAGAGCGGACGGGATCCCGTATATTCCAATGGGTATGGTCGTATGTGGCAACTTATTGCGGTGGGTTGATTGATAGATGTGATGAAGCACGCAAAAAATTTCTGCTCCTTGAGCACCTGCCAGACGAGGCTCTTTATGGTTTCGGTGCCTGAATCTCGCCAATCTTGGTGGTAGTTGGGAGGGAAAACAGTAGGCCACGTTCTTTCCGGGGGCATCTTGAAGCCTCCGTACGATGGCCGAGAGCAGTGTGGTCTTGCCGACACCAGTATCGCCCATCACCCAAAGCACTTGGCAGCTGTTGTCGCTGATCCAGTTGTTGATACTCCGGGGTTTGAGCGGCCCAGTCATACAGCATATCTGACATGTTGCCGAAGCTGCTTTTTGGAGGTGGCTCCAGATGAGTAGGGTGAGGCTTGCCGAGGAGACCCGCTGTCTGCTTCTCTTTCTGGGCTTCGTCTGTCACCTTATCCTCTTCTGCCTGGTCTTCTTGTTCAGGCGCTTCAGACTGCCGTGTTGCCGACCCGTCATCCTCTTTCTGGCTTTCTAGCTCGCACTCTCCCGCCGTCGACTTGGCCCGTCTCGTCTGGCTTTCTCCCTCTAACTCTTCGGTCCCCTGCTCGTCCTCCTCTGTCTGCGCTTCCTGGTGGCCGTCTCCCTCGTCGAGCAGTTGTCGGAGCTGCGCCTCTATGTTACCCCCTGCGAAACCTGTGACAAGGACACCTTCGAGCCTAGGGATTTCAGCCTGTGATTGATTGAGATCGAGAGACTGCGATCGCTCCACGACAGCATTATGCCATTCCAAGACAGGTTCGATCTGATATCGGAGAACTGCTTGGTACAGGCCGGTCAGATCATCCCCGAAGGCGGCTCTTGTGGAGCGCAATACTCGTCCGAGCGTCGGAGTCGCCTGTGTTCATGGCAAGCAGCTTGGAGAGGCCAATGTACCATTCCAACTTGGAGGTGAGCGAGATCATTCCCGGGCCGAGTACCTCGGTTTTCGGACCACGGCAAACTGTCGCCTGCCAAAGCGGCAGCCGTGTGTTCGTGTCAAAACAAACCAAGGGCTTGACAAGTCGGGGTACCTATCATACCTCGATACTAAGGCAGGCGGCGACCCAAAGCAGAGAACAGCCTGGACTTTTGTTGACCAGACGCCGCATAACTCCTCTCAGAGACCCAGGCTCAGGCTGTGTGCCCTCGGCATCGCCGCCGTCGCTGAGCCACGCCTTCAAAACCTCTCCCATTTGCACTTGTCTCTGCTCCGGGTCCGACTGCGCGACCATGTTGCTGGAAGACACCGCGTGCTCATCGCCGCCCCTTAGGTGGCCCGACAATGTCTTTTCGTACCGATCAAGGAGATCAGAGTCGTTTCCCTTCAGACTGTCGTAGGCTCTGTCCCAGAGTTCCGTGTCGCTTTTGGCGAGGGACGGGCGGCTGAATAGGCGGCTTGCTCCTTATCAGTTGTATTTGACGGGGGCTGCTGATGCTGAGAGCTGTTGTCCACCCGAGTCTCTGCCATATTCTGGTCTTGATTCCCCACAGGATGCGGCGGGTCGTGGCTGTCAACATCTTCCTCTCCCTCCTTCCCAGCATGCCTGGGGGCACCCAGCATCTCTGATGTGTCACAAATGGTCGTATATGGGGTGGATCTCGTTGGGAATGTAGCTCCGTCGTCCCTGGATCTTGGGCGAACTCGATGCATGAATCTGAAGAAGCTAGAGTCGCCCGTTTTTTGCTTTTCCGACCTGGGTTCCTCTGCCATCGTCAATATTGAGTGGCTAGATAGGTGCGCGGCTGGCCACTGCCGGCTGCTAGGCTCCCAAGCCTAGTAGATATCAATGATGCTTTTTTTGTGGTGATTATGCTTTTTGGCCGCCAGGGATCTACCTCGGTAGGTAGGTATATAAACAGGTACGTAGCAGGCAGGCAGGTAATTAGCGAGACGACGAAGTTGAGGGCTATCAAGTACTACCAGCAGTTGGTAAAAGGAAACGAGGCAGCCAAGATCCTATCCGGTGACTAACAGTCGACCCTCTGATAGGCTATCGGATGGGCAATAGCCAATGAAGTCGACGTGATTTCCATGAGCTTCACGACTCTGGAAAGTACAGAGGAGCTGAAGGCTCAGATGCAAAACGCCACCCGAAAAAAAAACATCGTCATGATCTGCAGCACCCACGATGAGGGATCGAGGGTGGCCAAGGCATATCCGGCCGACTTGTCGACGGAATCGAAGCTGGTCATCGCCGCCTGCGACAAGTACGGCAAGCTGTGGCGGGACGTGGACCCGCGCAAGTACGACTACAAGGTTGACGGGGTCGGGGTGCCCGCGGGCGTCATCCCGTTCCTCGAGTCGATGGACCGCATCTCGGGCAGCTCCGTGGCGACCGCCCTGGTGGCCGGCCTGACCTCGCTAATCCTGTCGTGCCACCGGCTGGCCCACCCGGAGAGCCCGCGGCCAGCGCAGGCCCGTCAGTTCGCGTCTGCCGACCAAAAGAGCCAGGAGCCAATCGGCATCGTCACGAAGCACCTGGATGACATGTCTCCAACCAAATCGGAGCAGCCCGGGTTCCTCTTCCTCGAAAGGTTTGCCGGGATCGACGACATGATCAAGGTGGGCGATGACGTCGACGCAGAGACGGTCCTGAGGAAAGCGTTTGGGATGATGTCGTAGGGGGACTGTTGGCAGTGGTAGAGCTGTGTTGAGGCCTTTTTTCTCCTTGATTTCTTTTTTCTATCTCGTTTTGTTTTTTCCTCTTGGCAGTTTATTAAACCTCACGTCGGAGTGGACGGGGACGTTGGGATCCCCAGATACCGATGAAGACCTCGCTTCTCTCAGAGTAACATCTCGTAACGGCCCTACGCCCTGGGTAGGCGTTGGGACCAAAGCAAAAGAAATCCACCAGCTCAAATAGCAAAAAATATCACTGCCCAGCCTATATTAAACCGTCCGCAGGGTGTGGCAGTTGCGAAAACCATCCGGTTAATATGGTTTTCTTCGAAGTTTTTTTCCGCACCCCATACGGGGGATCGAACCCGTGCTCCCAAATCTGTTAAATTAGGGCTCAACGGCTACGGTTAACCATTACACCAAAGGGCGGTACCTATTAAATGTCCGGGTTCGATGACTGGAGCAACCGGAGGGGCGTTTATATCAGATGGCTTGGGGTCAGGCAGCAGCAGGCAGGAGCGACCCGGGCAGGCAGGCACGTGGGGGCCCACCTCGCCCTCGTTTTGATATTGATATCGGACACTCGTCAGACGGCAGTCACCTCACCGTGCCGTTTGGCGTCCCCGCTTGGAGTTTCCATCGTTACAACGCATGCCGAGCCTTTCCTCTCGATGGCGCACAAGAATACGACAGCCATCGCAAG